ACCACCTACAGTTGATGTTTGACAGTGATACAACATGTCATGGGGCCAGATGCACAGGAAGCAAGAAGACCTGAATTCATATGAAGAAGAGTGCAGGAATTGCAGGATTGGGCTAAGTGGGAGCTTATGGCAGAGTTCACTGAGATCTGTAGTAGAAACAGCTCTATGACAGATCCCAACCAATTCAGTACAAATGGGAGGTTACAGCAAAACCTGCCAGAATCTGTAGTATCACAATTGTATGACAGATCCTGCATGGGAGGTGCTGATCTCATGAATCTCACCACAAGACAGATGTCAATACCATGAATGGGTGGCAAAGACATCTGGGTCCACCATCAATGAAGCAGGGGACCTGCTCAGAAATGAACCCCAAGCAGGTAGATGGGAGGAATGAAAGGGGGTGCAAATTGCTGCTCAGATGAGGTGGGAATGGCCCCTGTCAATGATGAAATGACATGAGGACTGTCCATCCACAAGGAGTGAGAGACATGGTGCTGGTGAGCAGCAGCACAGGATGGACAGAGGGGATGGGAATGACAAGGAGGAGGGGCAGTGCTGGAGAAGCATGCCAAAGCAAAGGCAGAGTCGCAGGCAACACTGCAAGAATGGTTATATAGCATCACTCCTCGTCACAGCTGTTGAGTGGATCTGGTATCCACTCTACACCAAATATTACTAGCTATCACTTCACATAAGTATACTTAGTATTCTGTCAGCAAGTTGCAATCAATAGATTGCTTCCATTGTAGTGTGTGTGTTGTATCACCACTCACTGACATCTGAAAGCGGTTCATAGCAACCAGCAGTCTGGATAATGAGCATAGAACTGAAGGCAGTTGTCCACTGTGGTCTGGGGATCACCTCAAGCACTCAGTAGACACACTGGTCACTTGTGTTGGTGCCAACAGCATCATTCACACCAGACCTTGGTGTCATCATCATACATTAATAGTTATTGATCATGCTGAGCTACCTCTGGATGGAGTGTCCACAGCAGTCAGTCAAAACCTGCAATAGCAATGAATCTATCACACATTTGAGTGAGAAAAGTCATAGAGGCCTTCTATGACAGATCTTGACCAAAGTAGTAATACTTGGTATCTTACCACATATCTCAATGGGATCTGTAATAGAAGCAGTTCTACTACAGATATCAGGTTTCAGGTGCACAACCTCTGACACAAAGCCACAGATGTCAAAGAGATAAAGAACCTGAACCCAACAGTCCAAGAAGCATTAGGCAGATCAGACAAGAGATTCTGGGAGGAGGCCATGCGAAAAGAATTGGAGGGGCTAGAAGCGATGGGAATGTGGAAAGTCACCAACATGCCACCCAGCACAAACATTGTCAACACCCACTGGGTACTCAAGATAAAAATGGCTGCAAACCTGGTACCTACAAAATTCAAGGCAAGACTTGTGGTGAGAGGAGTCACACAAAAGGAAGGCATCAATTATGTGGAAATATTTGCACTGGTGGCACTGATCCAATCCATCAGAGGTGTATTGGTGATTGCTGCAGTACAAAACTGGGAGGTGGATTTGATTGACATCAAGCAGGTGTATCTCAACTCAAGCCTACAACATGATGTCTACCTAAGACCACCAGTTGGGACCAAAGTACCCCAGGGAAAGGTGCTGAAGCTCATCAAAGGATTATATGGCCTAAAACAGTCCAGCAGGGAATGGAATGCCAAGTTGGATTCCCACCTTCAGAGGATCAGCTTTCACTGTATGCCAAGTGCACCATGCTTGTACACAAGAGGATTGGGAGAACAGATCACAGTCATCACAGTGTATGTGGATTATATGTTGATCACATCACCCAGCCAAGAGGAAGTGATTCACATGAAAGCAGAGATAATGGACAAATGGGGAACTGAGGATAACAGACCAATCAAAGAATTCCTCAGGATCAAGATCACTCGAGACTGGAGTCAAAAGCAAATATCATTGGATCTGATGGCATACATCCAGGCAATGGTGAGCAAGTGGTTAGAGAGGACAAACCAAAAGTCATGGATACCAATGTTGATTATAATGATGATTGCAGAAAGTAGCACATGTGTTTCAAAACAGATCAAGCAGTATCAAGAACTGGTGGGGCAACTCCTCTGGGTATCCAATACAGTCCCTGTCCAAAGTTTGGGGACAGGGTCCAATAGACAATAAATCAACCGTCCAATAGCATAGCTTCCATCTGCTTGGAGGAGTGATCTCTCATAAGTGTCAGACTGAGCAAAACACACAGTGAGCAAGCTTGGAAGAAGAGCTTTCGATTGCAGTGAGTCTTGGAGCCAACTAATACTTAGCGGACCTCCATGCTTAGTAAGCACTTGCTCCATGTGATGCTCCATTGACTTGATCACAGGTTTGATATGTTCAAGCATGATCTGGGTGTTCCACACCTCCTCTGCAGCTACTGGCAAGTTCATCCCAGGTTTTTGGTACTGGCAAGTGCTTACCAAGCAAGTTTTTGAATACATACCATATGTTCTCAATAGGATTAAGGTCCAGTGAAGCTGGTGGGTGTTCCTGCATCTTAATGTGGTATTTGGCCTGCCATTCCTTGCAGATAGCAGCCTGATGACAGCTGCTGCCATCTTTGACAACCAACAGGCCATCAGGGTATGCACTAACAGCAGTTACAGCATCCTGGAGTGGCCTGTTGATGATCCAATTGCAACATCTGACAGCTGTGAGGTTCTCAGCAGGATCCCATTGATTAGCTGACCCCAGCCAATTCTTTCTTGGAGCCAATGGGAGCACAACCAATGGGGTTTTGAGGTTGTATGCAATGCCAGCCCATACCTGGATGCTGAAACAGTCAGAATGGAACATCAAACCATGTTGTTGATGTCTTCTCAAGTGTTTTTCCAGTGACTAACCCATGTGCATCTGGGCCAGTAGCCAACCTTGACAGCTGCCTCATCTGTGAACAGCACACCCCTCCAATCAGTGGTGCTGTTAGCCTTGGCCCATTCTAGACATTTATACCAGTTTTTGGATGTCAGAAATGGCTTTTGAAGTGCAATCCAGCAGTTAATACTGGCCCAGTTTGCTGCTTTCCAGAGCTGCATTATTGGAATGCCACCAAGCAATGCTGACAGCTGTCACCATGATAAAAATGGGTTTTTGAGTACCTCATGCTGAAGGTAACAGTCCAAGGTAGCTGTCCAGGAGCACAGATGGCTGGATCATGCTTTTGTTTTGAAGGAACCACACTCCTTAAAGTTATGGATGGTCTTGTGAACTGCTGTTTTGGAAATGCCACTTAGCTCCATGATTTGTCAAATTGGCAGCCCAGTATCATGCAATGCAATGATTGAAGCATGCTTGCTTGGAGAGAGCTCTTTGCCATGGACCATATCAGTGTTTGAAGTGTTCTTGACTAGTGTGATGGTAGTGCTATTGCTCAATGACAATGATGACCCAAATGTGGGGTAACTGACTAAATTGGGAAATTACCTGATTGTCCCCAAACTTATGCACAGGGACTGTACAACCCAACATCTCGTTTGCTACAGGAGTTCTAGCATGGTACATGTTGACTCCAACTGTTGGGGCATGGAGTGCAGCACTCCATGTACTAAAGTGCCTCAATCAGACAAGCCAGTACCAGCTACACTTGGGAGGAAACACAACTACAGATGCAAGCCAGCCAGTGGTTATGTATACCAATGCAAACTGGGTGTCAGACCTGACAAATGGGTGCAGAAGCACATCCTGTGCAGTCATGTACATTTATGGGATCTCTGGTAAGCTGGAAATCCCATGTGCAGAAGTGTGTAGTGCTGTCAGCAGTGGAAGCAGAGTTTGTTGCTGTGTTGGAAGCTGCACAAGAGGCTCCCTTCTTCTCACACTTGCTCAGGGACCTGGGAATACCAAACATGAAGCCAGTCCTATGCACCAACAGCCAAGGATGTATACAGGTAAGCAAAGACCCAGCAAAACATTGGAAACTAAAGCATATTGACAACAGATATTATTCTGTTAGGGATCATGTACAGGATGGGGATATAGTGATAGAATATGTAAGGACAGCCAAGAACATGGCAGATGTACTAGTGAAGCCACTAAAAGGGGTGGATATGTCATGACTAGCAAACTTGATAGGCCTGGGAACACTGTTGAAGGGGGGAGTTGAAGTTGTGACAGAATTACCAGGAGTTTAGCCAAGATGCAAGAAAGCTGAGTCACTGAGAGACCAAGGGATGTGCATGCATGGTTGATGTGTGGCAACCAATCAGGAGATGCTTGTGGGAGACAATGCCAAGACACAAAGGAGATAATGCCAAGGCAACATGTGGTGTACACAGTTAGTGAGGCAGTGATAGGGTTTCTCATGGATGTTTGACATTGTATATAAACAAGCAGTCTCATAGTCATAGTTCACAAGAAATTTCAAGCATTGCATCTACAATACACCTGTGCGAATGGAGCTAGAACGTAGCCCGGACAAAGTGGTGTCTAACATAACTTGAACTGTTTCAACTAACTGCTGTGAACACTCTGTTCAGAGGTAGCATGGTACAATCAATGTCCTGAGATCGACTTGCTAGGACTATACGCCAGTATAGTACGGTGATGTCTGTCTTAACACGGGTGTTTGTAATGCCAACAGCGAGTGCAACTTGATCATTGATAAGCGTCTCTTCCACTTGATCCGAGTAGCGGGACGCTGCTCTGCATACTTCTTCTCGTAGGTCTCTGTTCACCATCAGCAATGGCAATGAGGTGCAAGATGGGTGGGATGATCTCCTTCTAATGGGATTTGGCGTCTCAAGCGATTTGGCATTTGGTGTGCACACTGGCCATCTTAATGGACGCCTAGAGTTGCGGTTACAGAATGCTGCGGGAATATATACACTTGACGTTGGCTTCTACTTGGATCTGCTGGAATGGGATCTGCGAGGCAGAGAAAAGGCTCTTGAACAAATACAGATGGTGATGGAGCTGCAAGGACTAGTTTGTGTCGAGATGGCATGTAGATGTGGTTAGGCACCTGCAGCAGCAGCTCTAGCTTTGGAGCGCTTTCCGGTTTGCGCCTGGAAACCGGACTTGATAGCGCTGACGGAACGCTGGGAACCGCACTTTTCGCAGGTGACGAAAAAGATGCGGTTCTCCTTGGAGAGCTTTGTCTCGGGACGCTTGCAGGTCTTGCAGATGACGTATTCGGTGATATATCTCCTAAGAACATTCTCGATCTGCTTGGGCTGGAAACGACCGCGGATGACTAAACGCTGTGAGCCGTCGACGGAACCGATAGTGCCGAGTTCGGCGAAAAGGAACTGAATCACGTGCTCTGGTTGGCGGTGCATACGCTTGCAAATATCGACGACGTTGGCAAAGACGGTCTTCTTGGAGCCATCTCGAGCCACCTGAGGTGGAACCATGGTGAATTTCTTCTTGTCACCCGAAAGAGCAGGGTTCTGATCGCGGAGAGTCTTGAAAACGCGACCGAGGAGCTCTTGATATGTGTAATCGCGATCTGTGCCTTGCCATGCCTCGATGCCGTCATGCTCGGGAGGAGCCTCGAGGTCTTGTGTTACATCCTGGGCGAAGGGATTGTCGCCGAGTTCCTCGTCATCGGCTTGAGCATATGCGTCGTTGGTAGCGTGCTCAACGTCATCCCCCTGCTCATCCCCCTGCTCATCTGCCTCTCCAATCTCCTTTTCGAAAGCGTCGAGGTCGAGAGCAACCTTTTTCTTGGACTTTTTCTTCTTCTTGAGCTCGCCAAACTGGGTTAGAACGCGAGAATAGGGGCAAAGCGAGGCGGGGTGTGAGTGCCAGTAAAGGATGGACAAACGAGGATATTGGGGTTAGCATGTCAACTTACGTTGAGCTCGTCATCCTCTGCAGCTGCTGTGCTGGACTGCTGAGCGTCGGCATCGGCAGTATTCTTGTTGTCGTTGTCATTGTTGTCGTTGTCATTGTCGTTGTCCTCGTCCAGCTTCTTGCTGTGCTTTGTCTTGTTCTTCTTCTTGATAGCGCCGAAAAGCTCTGCGGACTCGTGCTGCTCTGCGGGAGCGGGAGTGTTCTGGATAGAACCGGGGTCCGACATGATGGTGTTGTGCCAAGGGTGCGGATGATGGTGGTGGAGATGGTCGTTGCATATCAAGAGGAACGATCGCTTTGAGTTTGCGATTTTCAGCCAATCGGCCGAGAGACAGACGCTTACTCGCACGAGTGAAGCCGGACGAAAGGGTTCAAAGTGGAAAGCAATACAATTTGCCCACATAGAAAAGGGTAATCCGTGGAAGCCGGGTGTATTCAAGATTCCAGTTGGAACGCGCCGATGAATTGAATTTGTTTTGGATTCCGATTGGTTTTGAATTCAATAGAAAGAGAGCCAAAATTCGGATCCGAAGTCAAATTCGGATCCGAAGTCAGATTCGGATCCGAATCTAGCGAGAACATCTCGGATTCGTCGCCAATCGAATTTGGAGCATCTTGACCTCTCTCTTGCACTTGTTTCTCGCCCACCATCATCAACCTCCTCACCTCGCTCACATCTACGTCAACAACAATGGCGTTGCTTCCTCGTGCTGCCCGCCCGGCAATGGCCGCTCTCAACTCGGCTGCCCGTGCCGGCTTCCACTCGTCCGCCGCTCAGGCCGCCCCGCTTCGTGAGATCGAGCAACGTGTCAAGTCGGTGAGGAACATCGAGAAGATCACAAAGGTAGGTTACACACGCACGCCGACAGTAAACATGCATTACAACGCAGCATTCGACACACACACATACACAAACTCTCTCTCTCTCTCTCTCTCATCAGTCCGAAAGCCCGCCTTCTAACACCAACAGAACTTGTCGCCTTCTCAACTTGTGCTGCTACTTTCATCCGTCCAACAACAGTCGATGAAGATGATTGCTTCCACCAAGCTCAACAAGGCTCAGCGTGCCATGGCTGCTGCCAAGGCTTACGGTCAGGCCAACAACGGTGAGTTTCTCCAGCACAGCACACCATACCATCTTTGCCCTCCAGTCTCGCTAAACTAGCTGCATTCCAATCTCTCGCCTCTGCCTACCTTGTTGGCCTTTGCATTCTGGTTTGCAGAGATCTTCACCAACTCGGAGACCGTCGCACCCGAAGGCGGTCGTCAGCTCTTTGTTGTTGTCTCTTCCGACAAGGGTCTCTGCGGTGGTATCCACTCGTCTGTCACCAAGCGCACCAAGGCCGAATTCAAGAAGCTTGGCGAGAAGCTCGGCGAGGACGCTTCCCAGGCTCCTGCTGTCGTCGTCCTCGGAGAAAAGTCCAAGGCGCAACTTGGGCGTGCTCTTCCCACCAACCTCGCACTCTCTTTCAACCAGATCGGCAAAGACGTCCCCACCTTTGCCGACGCTACTGCCATTGCTGACCAGATCATCAAGTCTGGCATCAAGTTTGACAAGGTCAACCTGATCTACAACAAGTACGTTTCTGCTCTCTCCTTCGAGTCGGATGTTCTGGAGGTCTTCTCGGAAGATGCTCTTCGCAATGCTCCTCAGTTCAAGCTGTACGAGCAGGAGGATGATGTCACCAGGGACTTGGCCGAATTCGCTTTTGCCAATGCCATCTATGCTGCTCTCGTCGAGGGTCACGCTTCCGAGATCAACTCGAGGCGTAACGCTATGGACAATGCTTCCAAGAATGCAGGTGACATGATTTCCTCACTCAACATGCTCTACAACCGTGGACGACAGGCGGCTATCACCAACGACTTGGTCGACATTATCACTGGTGCTTCTGCTCTCTAAGTCAAGTCAGCTGGATGCCAAGAGAGTACGGTACAGTGCAGCAGTAGACTTGCGTAAAACACACACACACACACATATATATATATATATATCAATGCAATCCAGATGCAGATGCTTCCAGAACCGAAATCTCCCGCTCCGTGTATCGTAGCCTTGTAGCCATGGACCTGCTCAGGTGTGCGTGTGTGTGTTTTGCGCCCTGAATCGAGCAACGCTACTTCCAACTCCTGCGAGACATACAGATATACAATTCAGGTTCTGCAGGGTATCCCCGCTTCGTTAGCGTAGTTGGATTATCGCATCCGTCTAATACAGATGCCTCAGAATCATTCTCTGAGATTGTTACAACGGAAGGTCACTGGTTCGAGCCCAGTACGGAGCAAAACACTTTTTATCTTTTCATCTTTTTTTCTTTTTTCTTTTTTCTTTTTTTGATGCCTGAATTTCTTTAGTTTTGCCCCCCAAAACAGGCAGCAAAGAAATACGGGCAGATTGGCAATATCAGCAGGACAGTTATATCAACTGGCCCAGGTCTCTGCAGCAACTGTTGCAGGTTCACCAGCACTACACTGAAGTTATGGAAGTCTTTGTAACCGAAGTCTTCTCCACTAAGCACACTCTGCTTCCATCCAAGCAGGCATGTGTGCCCCACTGACCCCAAGCATGCCTTTGGATTGTTCAAGTCTCGAGTCAAATATCGAGATTGCTTAATGCTTCAAGGGACATGCAAGCCGTTGCACCATACATCCTATGTATGACTGGTACATACCTGTCAAGAAGGTCAATAAGCTTGTCTGCACAGCCAAGAGTTTTGCAACCTGATATTTCTCAAGCATCTGCACAGAAGTCCCTGGACAAACACTAGGCTTTTCATGCAGCTAAAATATGAAACCAACTGCATCACAAACTTCTGCCTGCTTTCAGTTCACAATCCCATCTGGTAGGTCCAAAGATGCTACAAGAAGCTCCCATCAGTACAGAGCGGGTCAAACATCCACAAGCGATTAACGGGAAGGTCAGAGGAAGAGGCATCCTTTATTGAGAGAGGAAGAGGCATTCAGGAGGTGATCATATGCAAGAAAGTGGACCAAGAACAGTAGCATGTGTATGCTTACCACACAGGCAAATGCGCTCACAACCGCATGGAGAAGCAAGCTAGCCATAGCGGTGACTGCATCGACGGGGAGCAGGACAATAGGGTGATCATGAGGTCAGCATCATTCACACAATAGAGGAAGTGGCTAGACTGTCTATGAGGAGACTGACGCATCGCTCAGGAGGAGCTCAGGAGGAGGAGAAGCAGGAGCAGTGCCACAGGTGACACTGCACAAAACACATATATACTCTCATTTCACCATAACATATGAGCAGATCCTCATCCACTCTACTTACTACTTTTCTTACTCTTTACTTTGTTTCATATCATTGCAATTGCAGTGAATTGCAAGGACATTCCAAGCACATGTGTTGTATCACTGTTGGGCATCAACTGTAGGCAGTGTTCAACTCTTGTGGTCCAGTGAATCACTGAAGGTGGTGTATAACACCTGTGGTCCAGTACCTCCTATCATCTGTAGGCAATAACCTTATTGCAGTCCAGATACCAACAACTATTATCAAGCAATGATCAGCACTACAAACACTTGTGCTGCAACAGAAGGCTGTATCTTATAGCACTCCAATTCTAGTTCTATGGACATGCCACATAGCCTCTGAACAGAATGTTCAAGGTGGTCAGTTGAAACCTATCAGAAATAAGCCTTCTGGTCCCTTTCACTGAAACAGTTCAGATAGAGCTTACTCAATTCATCTCACCAAGATCAACCAGGTTCAACTAACTCAGGTTTCTATAGATGACACTGCCAGCAACACTGCTCCCACACCTTCTACAAGGAGTATAGCCTCTACATCCTACTCGTACTCCTCCTGTTCCTTCTGCTTCGTATGCGCACCTCCTTGCCATGGTTCCTGCTCCTCCGGCTCCTTGTCCCTCAGGTGAGAGCAGCCACAACTTCATTATTCCTAGGGGTCTCCCCCACTTCATCCATGTGGTAACCCCCTTCTTCCTTTCCCTCCTCTGAGTCCCTGTTTGTCAACGGTGACGACGACTTGTCATGGGACCGGATACACAGGAAGCAGGAAGAACCAAAGTCATATGAGGAGAAGCACAGAAATTGCAGGATTGGGCAAAATGAGGGTTTACAACAGAGTTCATCAAGATCTGTAGTAAAGAGGCTCTACAACAGATTCTGTCCAAATTGGTACAAGCAGGATCTTACAAAGAAGCCTGCTGGAAACAGTAGTATCATTATTGTACAACAGATCTTGCAGAAACTGGTGAGAGGATGCCAATATCACAGACCCCACAATAGGACAGGTGGTAATGACATCTGGGTCTACCACCCCAATGAAGCAGGGACCTACTCAAGGACAAACTCGGAGCAGGAGGATGGTGTAAGCAGTTACGCACCAAAGACTTAGTTTTGGGGTGCTATTGAGTTTGATTGAGTAAGGTCTACTCAGTAAGTTTCGCCTAAATGTAACCAAATGTTGCCACCTGGTAAGTCTCAACTGACCACCTTGAACACTCCATTCAGAGGTTGCATGGCATGGACACTGGTCATTGGTGAGTGAGTGAAACACCCTCTCCTACAGTACAAGTGTTCATAGTACTGTTGATAATGCTCTTGGATGTTGTCTGGACTGCATTATGCTAATTGCCTACAGAGGATGGGAGTTACTGGACTGCAGGTGTGATTCACTGCCTACAATAACTGACTGGACTGCAGGTGTTGAGCAACACCACCTACAGCAAGGGACTGGACTGCAAGTGTTGAAGAACACTGCCTACAGTAAGGGACTGGACTGCAAGTGTTGAAGAACACCACCTACAGTTGTTGACCAATGGTGATACAACACACATGTTGAGAGTTGTTGCAAGAGCACTGCTATTGCAATGGTATGTAACTGAGTAAGTAGATAGAGTATGTAGTAAAAGAGTGGATGGGGCTCCACTCATATGCTATGGTAGAATGAGAGTATTTATGCATTCAATTGGTGTTGCCCACGACACCTATCCTGCTCCTCTTGAGGGAACTTTGTCCCCTGTTTGACACTGTCTTGTCCTGCTGGCATCAATCCCATTGGTACTGTGCCCCTACCATTTGCATGGCATAAGGGTTATGCAACACTGCCCTCTTGCCTTCATGCTCTCCTTCTGCCTGATGATGTGTGATGCCCCCTTTCAACACAGCTCCTTCTTGACTTTATCTTGTGAATCCCTTTAGCCACTTGTTGAACCTTGTGACCAAACCCTTGGTCATGTGGTCACTTTGGCACAGCTCCTTCTTGACTTTGTCTTGTGAATCCCTTTAGCCACTTGTTGAACCTCATGACCAAACCCCTTGGTCACATGGTCACTTTGACACAGCTCCTAGTACTTGCTTGTATTGGCCAACTTGTTGAAGCATACTGATCTGACTGATTCCAACCAATCCCTGATGAGATTAATCTGGAACCCAGGGTTCAATTGATCTTGTAATTCATATGTGCTGCCAGCCTGATTAATCTCATTGATCCCCAATGGTTTGGTGCTGATCAATCTGGCATGCCCTCCATATATTGATCCATTGTGCCCCCTTCATACATTGCTCCATTGCATGACTTTCCCATGACTGCCATTGATCAATTTGGCGCACTCTCTTGCGCTGGCCTGCTGACCCTGTAACAGATGGGTGAGATGAAGAAGGGGGGTGAGTCACCACTTGGATGAAGTGGGAGTGGCCCCTATCAATGATGAAGCAACATGAGGACCTCCCATCTGCAGGAAGGATGGGAAGCAGTGCCAACAAGCAACATCACAAGGTAGGCAGGACAAGAGAGGAGGAGCAGTGTCTGAAGAGACCTCCTAGAGTAGAAGCAGCATCACAGGTGACATTGTGAGGATGTCTATATAACCATGCTCTCTCATCATAGTAGTTGAGTGGATCTTTATCCACTCTACACCTTACATTACTAGTTATAACATCATCATAAGTATACTTGGTAGTTTTCTGTCAACAGTTGCAATTGCAGGGCATTGCATCTACTTAGTGTGTGTGTTGTATTACTGCTTGAGGCCATCTGAAGGCAGTTCATTCTGCAGTCCAGATATCAATTGACACTGAAGGTGGTTCATACTGCAGTTTGGCTCTCTCAATCATTAGAAACCAAAGGCAGTCATCCACTGCAGTCCAGGGATCATCAACCATTCAGTCAACACACTGGACACTTTTGTAGGTGCAAGCATATTCACACCAGACCTTGGTGTCACCTCAAAGTATCTATCAACTAGTGATCATGCCAAGCTACCTCTGAGCAGAGTGTCCCCAGTGGTCAGTTGAAATCTGCAATAGATATCAGTTATGACATATTTGAGTGAGAAAAGTCATAGAAGGCTTCTACAACAGATTTCAGCAAGAATAATAATAAAGGCCTTTTACCCCAGATCTCGATAGGATCAGTAGTGGTTTTACTGCTCACTATGTTTCAATTTGATTTCCTGATTTCCTGATTGCTGACATTGTGTCACAGGGTCAGCGCAGAAGATCCTGGACCTGCAAAAGACATGTGTCAGAGGTCATGCACCTGAAACCTGAAATCTGTGGTAAAAGGCAACTACTACTGATCCTATTGAGATCTGGGGTAAAAGGTCTTTATTATTATTCTTGCTGAAATCTGTTGTAGAAGCCTTCTATGGCTGTTCTTGCTTGAATTGAACACAACTAAAGGATATCACAGATTTCAACTGACCACTGGGGACACTCTGTCCAGAGGTAGCTTGGCACAATCAAGGTCTGATAGTTTATCTGAGGTGACACCAAGGTTTGTTGTGAATGTGCTAGCTTTGACACAAGTGTCCAGTGTGTTGATGAATTGGGTGATTGATCCCTGGACTGCAGTGGACAACTGCCTTTGGTTTCTAATGATTGAGAGAGCTGGACTGCAGTATGAACCACCTTTGGTGTTGATCAATTTCCAGACTGCAGTTGATACTGCCTTTGGATGATGTCAATGAGTGGTGATACAACACATGTGCTATGATAGAAGCAATGCTCTGCAATTGCAACTGTTGACAGAATACTAACTATACTTTCTGAAGCTATAACTAGTGATGTAAGGTGTAGAGTGGATGGAGATCCACTCGACTATCATGACTGGAATGCATGTCTTATGTACATACTTCTCACAGAGCTGCCTGCGACACTGCTCCTGCTATATCAGGAGGTGTACCTCCTTGTCGAGCACTGCTTCTCCTGCTCCTTGTGGGTGAGGAGACTATTGCAGTGCCCCTTCATTGTCCAATAGGGGTTATCCCACTTCATCCCAGTGGTAGTGCCCCTCCCCCTTATTCATCTTGCCCCCTTGATGATGGTGCCCACCTCCTTGTGCCCATTTCATTGTCATGTAGGGCCCCTACCTCATCAGGTGGCAGCCCACTCCTTGTCCAGTGTCCTCTTGGTTCAGGATTGCCAATAGAAGCCTCTTCTAATCAGTCTCCATGAAATCTGTCATTCCAGCCTGATGCTACTGATCCTGATGGATTCTGTAGTAAAGCCTTGCTACAACAGATCTTGACAAGTTCTGCCATAGAGCTGTTGATCTTACCAATCTCACCGAGCTCTGCCAGAAACCTCTTGTAGCCCAATCTACGATTGTTGTGGATGGTCACTTCATCTGACTCCAGTTCTTCCTGCGCATCCATCCGGTCCTATGACAACCGCCTTGAACACTCTGTTCAAAGGCTATGCAGTGTCAGCGGAATGAATAGATGTCCCTTCTCCGAGTCTGGAGGATTGCAGAGTGCAATGCTTATACTTCAGTGTTGTGTGAATTGGGTACACCAGCTAAGGGACTAGCTGGTGTAGTGGTTTTGCTGCTCACTATGTTTCGGTTTGGTTACCCGATTCCTGATGCGTGACATGCAGCACATCCAGGGACTAGGGTTGGGAACACTATAAGGTGTAGCCTTCCATGTCAGCACAAGTGTTTGTAGTGCTGCTCATTGCTTGTTGGTATTTGATAGTGTCTGGACCACAATAAGATTGTTGCCTGCAGATGAAAGAGGTACTGGACCGCAGGTGTTGAGGAACACTGCCTACAGTTTTGACTTCCAATGGTGATATGATACACATGTTCGAGATGTCATTGCAAAGCTATGCTATTGCAATGATATGAGTCAAGAAAAGAGTAGTAAGATAAAAAGTAGAGTGGATGAGGATCCACTTGTTTGCTATGGTGAAGTAGTAGTAGTATTTTATGTGATTTGAGAGATGCCACCTGTGGCACCACTCCTACTCCTCTGGAGGAGTGTCTCCATCCTCCTCATACTCCTCCTTTCCTTGGGCTATGTATTGACTCTTCTTGACACTGCCCATCCCCCTCATGGTACCAATGTTGGTCCCCTTGGTCTGACTCTCTCTCCCCTCAATCCATGGTCATTTCTTGGCCCCTATCTGATGGCCCTCTCTGACCATGTGACCATGCTATTGTCTCATTCTCATCCATGGGGTCTACCTTGTGACCAACCCTTATGTGATCAAGAGCACATCCCCCTTGTGTGGTAACCTGCTGCTTGCTCCTGAGCTTGATCCTCTTCTTGGCTAAACTTGGACCCCTGTAGCATGTGAGACCTTCCCTTGTGCCCTATCCTACCTTTGATGATGGAGGTCTTCCCTACCAAGTCTCCTGTTGCCTTCTTGTATCCTGCTGGTCCATTCTGTACTGAAGGTGCTTTGTGGTGATGTGTTTTGGTGAAACCAACCCAATGAGCATGTTATGTTTGATTTCAGCAAAACCAATCAGAAACCCCCATCATGGTTGATTTCCCTGAAATCAACTGGAAACCCATCTTACAGTTGATGTCACATTTTGTGTGCCTTTTTCTGGGCATACCACATCTTCAAGTGTTTGTAGTGCTGCTCGTTGCTTGTTGGTATTTGATAGTGTCTGGACCACAATAAGATTGTTTGCCTGCAGATGAAAGAGGTACTGGACCACAGGTGTTGTACACCACCATCAGTGAGAGACTGGACCACAAGTGTTGGGGAAACACTGCCTACAGTTGACATGTGACAGTGATGCAACAGACACATTTGAGATGTTGTTGTTGCAAAGCTCAGGTGTTGCAATGATATGCAACTAAGAGTCAAGTCAAGAGCAAGTAAAGTATAGATTAGAGGGGATGAGGATGCACTTGTATGCTATGGTCAAATGAGAGTATGTATGTGTTCTGTGCAGTGTCACCTGCAACACTGCTCCTCTTGCCCTTGAGCTGTGTTGGCCTCTTGGACACTGCTCCTTCTCCTCATGGATTATAACCTGGTCAAGTCGACATGGCTCTCGCTCCTCCTAACCAGACCAACCTCTGCTTTCCTATCTACCTCCCCAACTGTGGTAACGAAAGATTGCTACTGAGCTCAGTCAGCTTGCTCGCATGTGGTCCTGCTTGGTATGACTCGCTTGTTCCGCAGTGCTGGAAACCTGCTCTTCCAACCCATGCGGAACTGTAAGAGCGTTTGGCAGCAGGTTTGGTGATTTGTGCACACAACACACCCGATCAAAATTTTGCCACAGGATACCGTCGTGCATTACACATGCTTGGGAAAGGTATCATACATGCCGAATTGCCGTGAGTTGCAAGGGTCCTGCTAAATTTAGCATGGCTAAACACTGTGTAGTGCCGAGTCGCGATGGCGGGGGACGTGGGATTGCATGCTTAGTCACGATGCTGACGTCATGTTGCGGTATGACTCAGAGGTGTTGCTGGTGCGCCGGATATAAGGAAGCTCGATTTGCTCGGTGGGGGAAGGAGGAAGGGTTAGGATGCTTGCTTTTACTACTACGTCGGTTTGGTTTAGACAGGTAGGGAGGTGTCGTGGTAGAGGCATTTGTGTTTCTCGTTCCTTTCTTTCGGTGTCAGTAGTAAGCGCCGTTGCTTCTAGCATTCGACGCCAAACCAGCATCAACGCAAGCCAGAAAGACGACGACAGAGGAGGAGGAGGCGAAAAGCAGACGAGTCAAGGCCATCCGCTCATGCAACCACCGAACACTGGGTGGAAAGGCGCCATCCCGGCCAAGGACGGCGGTCGGGAGGAGCAGTATCTGCAGAAGGTGAGTTGCAGTTGCTTTCTTCTGGGCTGCTCGTTGGTGCGTATACTGACTCTTGTTGTTTTCTTGTACTGTTGATGTGCTACTTTAGCCACCTTACTGTTGGCAATCGCAAGAGTTCGAGGTCAAGTATAGGGCAAGATGCTGGTGTGGTAAACGTAGGTCTTGCTGGCTCGTTCCTAGCGCACCTGATTGCGATGCTTTCTAACCCAACCCCCCCCTTCCCCCTTCCCCTTTACTCTGCCTTGGATGGCGCTGTGGAGAACAGTCGAGTTTGAATACCACGGAGACCCAATCGATGCTAAACACTGCCACTGCACACAATGCCAACGTCTTCACGGCGCACCATTCCAATGGGCAGCACTTTTCCACAAGACTTCAGTGCGGCTAGCGAAGCATTGCGATCCTATCCATCTCGACTTTTTCTCGACGCAGGAAGGCCATAGCGAACACAGCGTTCCCTGTAAAATCAGTTGCAGAAACTGCAGAAGCCCAATGGCAGACGAAGGCCGTAACATGGTGATGGCATATCCATCATCGTTTGGTTTTGAGGAGAACGAGGTTCCCGCTGCGTTTGCACCGACGGCACACATCTTCTATAGCGAACGTGTTATGGATCTCGACGACGACGTCCCCAAGGTAAGCATCCCGCCTCGCCCCTTCCCGCCTAACGCTAGCCTCGGCTGACCTTGCAAGGTGACTGACTGACAATGACTCGCACAACCACAGTGGGCGGGACACAAGAATGCATCCGAACAGCTCCCGCACACGCCCCAGCAAGACAGCGAGCGGACGATGGGCAAAGGCAAGAGATCCAAGTCGCAGTCGCGTTGATCCTAGTTGTCAAGTGTACCTGGCAATGATGATAAAGATGGCCATGCTCTGTATTGGTTGCTGTGTCGAAGGTGTGTATCAATCTTGTTTGGCGTTGCCAAGGGTATCTGTAGGGATTGTGTGCTGTTGTTGCTGCCTTTGCTGTGAGGGTTGCAGGGTGTTGGGTGTAACGCCTTGGAAAGCACCTTGGAGGGCTGCTTCGACGCTGATCCTACCGCGAATGGTGTCGTCGATGAGCTTTGCAATGCCTCCTGCTTTGGCACCACGCCTAGGCGGAATACTTGCACCACATCCACCGTCCGGCAGTGAATCGCCAAACTGAATCGGCCTAGCCCACTTGCTGGCCGCACCCGTATTAGCCGGTAAACCTGCAGCCAGATCGTACAACAAGGGATGAGATTTCTGCGCTCGACGTCTTTGATGTGCTTTGCCGCCATCATACGCTTCTGCTATGATGGCGTGCGGTGGCGGTGCCTCGTTCCATCGCAAAGAGCGGTGATGCGCGCTTTCATCACGGTCCAAAGCATGGACGCTTAGGTTGTTGCTATGGTTGTGGCGATGCTGCGATCTAGACTTTGTTGAAGCACCACCGAAATGCCAGGTATTGGCCTTCCACTGATCGTCGTCGTCATGATGGAAACGTGAGGCATTGCTGCTCGACACATTCCCTCCGAGCTGCGGCGGAGAGTTGCAATCCTTGCTGCCAAAGAATCGCAGTTGATCCGCTGCAACCTTGCCAACATGAACAGCTTGACCCCGAGGCACAAAGCGTGAGAGTTGAGGCGTGCAATCAGTATAAGCTTTGTTGGTATCTGGCATAAAGTTGCTAGCCGGATCATTGCCACGTAGAGACGCAAGGCTCTCGGCGGATGAGACAGCGCCTCCTCTGGTGGGCATTACCTTGATCTCGGCATTCCGTGGAGGGTGCTTGCAGCTCTCGACGGGGATGTAGATTAGTTTGCGCATCTGCACAGGATCTCCGGGCCAAAGCTTGTTCGACTTGCGAAGCACTTGGATGTCTGCACCGTAGTGCAACGCCAGCGAAGATAGCGTATCTGTAGGGGTGACTGGATGGATGAGGACGCGCACCCCTTGCTCACCCTCGGCATTGCGACTGGAAGAAGACCGTTGCTGCTGCTGCTGCTCATCTTTCAAGCCGAACCAATCCTGCAATCGGTCTAGTGTGCCTGCAGCCGGGGTGGTGTTGGATGAGGAAGCGTTGAATGAGGAAGCCTTGAATGACGATGGTCCGCCAAAGAGACCAGCGAGACCAGCGCCGATCGCTTTCCATTCAGAAGCGACTGCTGATGGACCTCTCTTGCCAGGGTCGCGAGGAGCAAAATTGCAAGCGGCTTGGGCAGGAGAAGGCGAGCGCAAGGGATGTCGGTCGACAGGCTGAGCATTGCTTCTTGCCGACCTGCTCGAGTCCAAGGCTGGAGACGACTTGCGACTGCGCAACTGCTGCTGCTGTTCCATCGAAGCCGAAGGGCAAAGGTAGCCAGTCTCGATGGCAGCCCAGGGATCCAGTTCGTTATTCGAGATAGCATTCGCGCTATCATCTCCCGACGACGACGTAGACAGCCACGGCGATGTGGCCGACATGATGTCGAGCCTTTCAATCGATCAGCTGCTGTGATGGTGGTCTTGATGATCCAGATGACACACACCGAGACTCTCCTTTATACTCTCCCACTTGTGCCCAATCGGCTTTAGATCGGTCCTCGAATCGGGCTTCGAATCGGACCTCAAATCGGGCATCGAATCGGACCTGGAACGAATCGGGGCATCGGCAGGCTATCTTCTTCACTTGCACACTCGCGCAGGCAAGGCGAATCAAACGAGCTTTGGGACTGGAACAATCACTTTCATTGCTTTGCTTGCTTTGCTTGCTTTGCTTGCTTTGCTTGCCATCAACGTCGGTAATCATAGCTGTGCGGAGGTGGAGGTGGCGGTGGATACGATGGCTGGTAGCTGGCACTTGCACAAGGAGGAGGCGGTGGCGGTGGATAAGCATACCTTGCATCCCGATAGTCTCGATCACGTCCCTCTCTGTATCCCGAGTCTCGGCGTTCAGGGTATGCTGGTGGATAGGAATCACGTCCGCTCCCGTAGTGGTGTCCGTTGGGCGGATAGTAAGGCTGCGAGCAGGGCAGATTGGCACTGCTAGGCGATCCTCCATAGCCGTTACCATATCCTCGTCCACCCGACGATGGCTCCATCGATGTACGCGGCTTCTTGGGGATCGGAGCATCTTGCAATGCATTCGCCTTTCGTTTGACTTCTGTCGCAGGAGCAGGCACAGGAGCAGGCACAGGAGCAGGCACAGGCGCAGGGGCAGACGCAGTGGCAGACGCAGGGACAGGCGTGTCGCTGTTGCCGTTTCCAGTCGCTCCTTCTGTTAGCGACTCGGATTTGAGACGTGTGCTTGCAGTCGGCGATCCTGCTCCACCGCTCGTTGCTGCTGGTGCGGCCGCAGGAGTGGATGTTGCGCGTCCGTTGATGACAAGCTTGTTAAAGATGGCCCTTAGTTTCGACGGCTTGACCTTCTTTGGCCAGAAGAATGCAGAAAAGGCCCAAAGGTGGTGGAACCATCGATCCTTGTCCTTGGCCGACAAGCTTGCAAACTTGGTCTCCAGCAGATGGTCAATATGGCCTCCGATTGCAGACAGGCAGTCTTTGAGGACAGACACCTTCTGGTCACGCTCCAGATGATCCGTGCCGTCTCGTAACCTCTTGAGTTGCTTCTTGCAGGGTCGCATCAGCTCTTTGCATTCCGCCTCGTCCATGCTCGAGTACTCGCTCTCATCCGACGAATCCGACGAGTAGGCCGGCGCAGGTCGTTTCTTGTCTGCTCCTCCTCCTCCTCCTCCTCCTCCTCCTCCTCCTGCTGCTGCTGCTGCTGCTGCTGCTGCTGCTGCTCCTGCGCCACCACGTCCCGCTTTGCCAGTTGGAGCAGGCGAGTGAGTTGGCGAAGTGCTCTTGCGCACCTTTTTGCCGGCTTTGCTCCCGCCTGCGTCGGTCAAGCTCTTCTGGTAGGCTTTGGCATTGTCGTCGTACTCGCGCAGCACTTTGAGCAGGTAGTCTCCACGACGGACAAGGTGAATCGCGTTTGGAATCGGTCGAGGTTTGCTCTGAGGAGGGCCTGAAGTGCCGCTCTTGGGTGCATCCTTTTCAACAGTGTGAGGCTCCTGGTTGGCTTTCTTACCCTCCTCCAAGAAGAACTTGCCGGCCATGTTGAGATCAGGATCGGCCTCGATCTGTTCCCATGCACCAAAGCCGTACTTCCAGATGCCGACAAGCAACATGGCATCGTCGGTGGCATCCCATCCACCAGCCCAGTTGAGTGTCGCCTTGAGATGCTCAGAAGGGACACGCCACTCAAGTGGATCCTCGACATTGTCCAGAGTCTCGGCAAGAAGGCGCAAGTCGTAGTGTCGGATGAGCACCGTCTCGGCATTGATAGCGGTGATGCCACGGCAAGATACGAGTACTGCCTTTTGACGGAGGGCGGAGGAGATCTCTTCACCACGCTCCTGCTTGCCCTTCATGAAAGCCTGGTGTTCAGCGACGGCATCTTCGCACCTCTTGACCAGCTCGTCGGAGATCTGATAGAGCACCTGCCGGTTCTTGTCCTGCAGCTTGCCTTCCTTGATGATGGGATCCGTCTTGTAGCGGATGTCGCCCCATCGTTGAATACCCCGGATGAGGACACGCAGGTCACGTTCCTTCATCTCCATCGAGCGCTGAGCGGCTGTCTTTCGGGCACGCTTGCTGGCAGCGTCCTTGGCACCGCCTGGCGAATCGGCTTGGTCATCAGTTTGGCCGTTATCATAGGCACCTGGAGCCACCTGCGCGGCAGCACGTCTTCGCGAAGAGCCGGCAGCAGCAGCAGCAGCAGCAGCAGCAGCAGCATCCTCGACCGCCTTGTTGCGTTGCTCTTGCTCGACCTTCTGACGCTCTTGCAGAGGGATAATGTCGTCCCAGCTGAGGTCGGCCTTAAAGTCTTGCACTTGGGCAAAGGACTTGAGAAAGTCTTGACCACCGGCGGAGCTGCCTGTTGGGTCTACCTCGGTCTCGTGGGCCTCTGCATGCGAGAGGATATCGTCGAGGTCCATCTCGTCAAGCTTTTTCTGCTGACCGTCTTCGTTGTCGCTCTTAAACATGTTTTGAGCGCCAAACTTGAGGATAGCTCCGAGCTCCTCTTTGCTGAATTGCTGTTGGTTCTTGGCAGAGGCTTTAGGCGCAAAGTTGGTTCCTGAAGTGTCCATCTGGTGGATGATGGCATACTCGAGCACCATCTTGCGCTTGGCTCTCTCGAGCACATCCTCCTCCACGGTGTCCTTGGTGAGTAGTCGGAAGACGCTGACGTGGAACTTGGAGTTGAGACGATGCGCTCGTGCCATGGCTTGCAGGTCGTTTTGCGGGTTCCAATCGCTGTCAAAGATGATGACCGTGTCGGCAGTCTCGAGGTTGATGCCCAGACCGCCGGCCCTGGTGGAAAGCAAAAAGGCAAAGTCGGGCGAGCGGTCGGCGTTGAAGTGTTCGATGGCCTTCTTTCGGACCTCGGAGGAGATAGTTCCGTCAAGCCTCTGGTGAATGTAACCGCGGAGGGACATGTAGTCGGAAAGGATGTCGAGCATGCGCACCATCTGACTGAAGATGAGAACACGATGTCCATCGGCCTTGAGACGTGCAAGGAGTTTGTCGAGCAAGACCATCTTGCCACTGTGCATGACGAGACCCTTGAGCGTGTCTTGTCGATTGTCCGAGATGATCTCGGTTCCGTCAAAGAGGTAAGGGTGGTTGGAGGCCTTTTTGAGTTCGATGGCAATGTTGAGCAGCGAGAACTGAGCAGTGGTGGCGCCGCTGAGGAGCGAATAGTTTCGCGTGAGGATGGCCTTGTACATGCGCTGTTGCATGGCTGACATTTCGACACGAAGGATTTTTTCGGACTTGGTGGGGAGCTCCTTGACGACGTCCTTCTTGAGACGGCGAAGCATGACATTGTCGAGTTTCTGGTGGAGTTGCTTGATGACGGCCTGGTCGACGTTGTTGATGTCGAAATCGACGTCGAGGTCGAATTGGTCGGGTCGCAAAAAGTGGAGGAGAGCGATGAGTTCTTTGACGTTGTTCTGCAAGGGCGTACCGGTGATGAGGAGCTTGCCGGCAGCATGGAAGCTGTTGAGCGCCTCGTACAGTTGGGCTTCAGAGTTTTTGAGACGATGAGCTTCGTCGACGGCGAGGTACTGCCATCTGATGTGACCGAGCTCTGCGCGGTCCTTGAGAATGAACTCGTAGGTGGTGACGAGGACGTTGAACTTGATCTTTTTGGCAGGGCCGAACTCGTACTCTCGGATCATGGCACGACTGGCGCTGTTGCCAATGTAAGCGAGAGTGTTGAGGTCGGGAGCCCAATGCTCCAACTGGTTCATCCATGCGGGCAGCGTGGAGAGGGGCACAACGACGAGGAAGGGGCCGTACTGGTAGCAGGAATGAAAGAGGTAAGAGAGGAAGGAGACGGTCTGAACCGTCTTGCCGAGACCCATCTCGTCGGCGAGGATGCCGTTCTCGTTCTTACTCCAGAGGTAGGCTAGCCAGTTGAGACCGGTCATCTGGAAGTCCTTGAGGGTTCCCGAGTTGATGTAGGCAGGCTGCTCGGTCATGCGCGTATACTTGGGACGGCCCTGAGAAAAGTTGTGCGAACGCCAAGGGAGGGTGAGCGAGCTGGATCGGGCGAGGTAAGCGGTGATGGCGTGTTGAGCAATGTGCTTGATCTCTTGCTCGGCTTCCCAGGTAGAGTCGGCGTAGGGCAAACCCTTCCACTTGACGAGGTAAGCGAGATGTGGATAGGGCACTTCCTTGTTGGCATGGTTGTCGCGCTGGGCAATGACACGTTCGACCGTCTTGAAGCTCTGAATGAGTTCGGCCTGTCGTTCCTTTTCGATCTGAAGGGCTTCGATGTCCTCGCGGGAAGCATTGGGGTCGGAAAGGAGCGCCTTTTCGGGATAAAAGACGGACTTGATGTAGTTGTCGACGCGCTTGAAGCCAGGGTAAGGCTTCAAGAAGTCGTAGGTCTCGTGGGTGTCGTGAAGGTGCGAGTAACGTTTCCACTTGACGATGAAGCGCATGTTTTGCGTTGGAATGTCCTCGCTGTCGTCGAGGTGATCTTCGTGTCGCTCGTGACCGAGGATGCTCTCGATGACGTCGTCTTGGTCTTGAATGTCTGGAGGCTGTTGAGCGTACCTCTGGGCTTGGGTATCAGCCTGGTCCTCGAAGGGATCCTCATCACCAAGGTCGGCGTAGTCGTCGGTGTAGTTGGGGATGCGTTTGCCGTTCCTGCTGGAGACGCGAGACACTTCGAGGTCGGCGGAAGAGAGACGGGGAGCAGCTGAGCGCTTTGCTTTGCGCTTGCTCTTGGACTTGGGAGGACCAAAGTCCTGGTCGTCGTCCTGGTCCTGGTCGTCGTCCTGGTCCTGGTCCTGGTCGTCGTCGTCGTCGTCGTCGTCGTCGTCGTCAGGGTCGTCGCTCTGCTCGTCATCATCATCGTCGCTGGGCTGCAGGGAGCTGCGAAGAGAGGCTCTGCTGCCTTTGACGAGATGGCGGCGTCTTGATGATAGCGAGGCTTCTGGGTCGTCCGAGTCGGCATCCAGGTCGGTGTAGGATCTTCTACCAGCGCGTCCGGATCTTCTCAAGCCGTAGAGATCTGGGTCGTTTTGAGCCTCGAGGAGATGTCTGCGGTCGGACTTGAGCGAGGAGCGAGAGGCAGTGCTGTTGCGAGAGGCAGTGCTGTTGCGAGAGGCAGTGCTGTTGCGAGAGGAGGCTGTAGCCTTTAGGCGGTCAAGCTGCTGTTGCATCATCATCATCGGCGGCTTGTGGTCATCGAGGTCATCGAGGTCATCTTGGTCGGTGGTCACATTGTTGTCGTTGTCGTTGTCGTTGTCGTTGTCATTGTCGTTGTCATTGTCGTTGTTGTCGTCGTTGTGGATGTGGTTGTGGTTGTGGTTGTGGTTGTGGTTGTGGTTGTGGTGGTGGTGGTTGTGGTGGTGCTGGTCGAGAGATTGCTCCTTGTTTGCCGAGTGAACTTGAGAGACGTCAGAGAGACCAGAGAGGGGTGAAGAGTGACGGCGTGGATCTTGTGTGTTTGCGGGTGGCGATGGAGAGGTAGCGTCAAGCTCTGGCTCTATCGACTCTTGGATGGCGGACATGGTGCAGCGGTGATATCGAGGAGAATGCTGTTTGACGAAAGCAAGACAATCAAGAGGGCTGTCTGATGCGTGCGCGATGGTGGGGAATGCTAGATGGGGTATGGCATGATGGACAATACACTGCCCGCGTATAGTGGAATGTGGAATGTGGAATGTGGAATGTGTAGTGTGTAGTGTATGTGTGTGTGTTTGGAAAGGATTGATAAGGAGGATGATGGTGGTGGAAAGGAGGATGATGGCGACGACGAAAGGAAAAAAAAATAAAAGCACTCGTCGCCATCAGTTTATTCGCACGATAAAAACATCTCCAACTCGAATTCATATTTTGAGAATCAACAGTCGCATCCGTTGTTAGATCTACATCTACTGCCGTCCTTCTGGAATTGCAGCGAGTGGAAAAATGGCCTGCTTACTAATCGCAATCACAGAGACCAAAGAAAAGAAAAGAAAAGAAAAGAAAAGAAACGAAAAGAAAAGAATATGATTTCAGCCGGGTTCGAACCGGCGACCTCCTCCGGAAGCAGATGGAAACTGTTAAGGAGACGCGCTAACCAGCTGCGCCATGAAACCTGTTGAGTTTGGTGTCCACTATATTGACGCCTTAATCGTATTAATGCTGAGATCCGACCTCCTTTGGGTCTTTTTCGCCACTCATATTATCGCCACTCTTACTATCACCACTCTCACCATCACCACTCGATCATTGCGCATCAGCTGCCCCTTGATTGCTCGTGGCTCGATCCCACCTAGGACTCCATTCCATCCGCTCGAAAGCTGGACTACGATGCAGGCGACTGTAGCTCATCTCATGGACCATGTCACCGACCCATCCGATTGGAAAGAGGACTTTACTGTTCTCCGCAACCTCGATGCTTCTCTTCGTTGCGATCTTTGCTTTGTAGGTCCCGCTGCCACTTGGGCCCCCCGTCTCCCCGCTCCGCCTGCGCTGACAATGAAACCTTGCTCCTCACTCGGTGCCAATGGACTGGCCAGGATATCTATACATCGCCAGTCTCGATAAAGAGCTGCCACCACACCTTCTGCTCCACCTGCATTCGCACCCACATCAATCAATCCGGTAACGGCGGTAGCTTCTGTCCCAAGTGCAGGCAGACAAAGGCGTACGACTCCGAGTTGATACCGCAGCCCCTCCTCGAAATCACAGCTCTGGAATGGAAGAGATCGCGCTCCTTTCTCGCTCGCCTGCAATCGCATCATCAACGCCATAAACAATCTTGCCCACCACAAACCCAGTCGTCATCCAAGCGGCCTCCATCTCAGCACAACCGCACCCCCAGTCCACGCAGCCCCAATCCACGCAGCCCCAGTCGACGCAGCCCCAGTCGACGCAGATCCAAGCGTATCAAACCAGACCTTTGCAACTCGCACCCTCTCCCCATCCATGACGACCAAGAGCAGGATCTCATACATAACACCGATCCTCAGCACGATGCAGATTCAAGCGCCCTCAGCTCCAGTCCAAGCGCAAGCCTCCAAGATGCCACTGGGCGAGCCTCGGATCTGCAACTCAAAGCGGATCACTTGGTGCAATGTCCTATCTGCACCCACAATTTCACCGTCACCGCTCTCAATCGTCACCTCGACAGCGCCAACTGCTATCCCGGCTTTCCCCAACCATCTCCCCAAGAACGAGGTCTTGCATCCACCACCACCACCACCACCACCACCACCAAGTCCACCTGCTCTTGGTTCACCCAACCCCGCTGCTCTTCCATTTCAGCCAGTTCAGATGCAGCCAACGAAAAGCGACTCGTCCGACCGCAATACAACCTGAAATCCGAACGAGAACTTCGCAAGCTCCTCCAAGATGCTGCCCTACCTACCAACGGTGACAAAGAAAAGATGGTCCAACGACATCGACAGTGGGTCAACATTTGGAATGCCAACCTCGATTCTACAAATGCTAGACGCAGCGCACTACAGCTCAGGCAAGGGTTGGCCGCTTGGGAACGTACCAAAGCTTCCGCAAAAGATCATTCTGCCCTTCTTGACCGGCACAAGTCGTCCTGGCTTGTAAGTTCCTCCTGCATTCCCAAGCCAACATGCTGATCACCTAGCTGCAAAGGGTCAACGCTGAGCTCTTTCTTTCCCTATCCTCCTCTCATCCAGCAGAAATCGAACAAGTCTCAATTCGACCAGCTCATTCAAAAAGCAAAGATCGCCACAACCTCCTCATCCTCCTCCCACACCACGACCCAATCTCCTCCTCCCACGCCCAACGAAACCTGCCAAGCCAACAGCGAGACAGATGGACACCTGCTCACCTCAAACCCTGCCCATCCGTAGCAGACACACATACACACACATATATATACATACGAATCACCATCTACTTGGTTCATAACTACCATCGCAATCGACACTTGTCATCATTCCTTTCCAGCCCACTTCTCCCCACTCTCCCCACTCTCCCCACTCTCCCCACTCTCCCCCTCGGCAACTCGGCAACTCGGCAACTGAGCAAATATCCGCTTCGTTGGTCAAACCTACTCTAGCTTGAGAGCAGCTAAAGAAATGTAGAGAGACCGGCTTGGTGTGGGGGTTAGAGTGCAACATTGTCTTTACTTTTGCCATACTGCAATGTGATATGGCCTTGCTGTATGTGTTTGCAAACGAGGGATTTCGTATCAACCTGCTTGAGCTTCAGTTCAAGTTATACAAGACACCCCTTCATCTGCGCTACAGTCTGCTCAAGCTTACCATCCAGTAAGATGCTGAAGGATGATGCAGAGCCAATCTAAATACATGACCGATCTCACCAGAGATCAGGTACAGTTGAAGATGCATCAGCATTCCAGCCTGGATATGCAAGCATTAGCCAAGACACCAAGGGGCCAAGAACATGCACAGGCAATCAAGACAATGAAGCACATGAGGGTTGCCATACCAACAGATCATGTGCTATACTGCAGAAGGTGGCAACTCAGGGGCCCTATAGGAGACAGCTCATCTCATTTGGGCATAATCAAAGATGGCAAGAAGGTATATATATATATATATGCCCATTAAGGATGTAACTGATAAGCAAGAAATAAAAGACCTTTTCTCAAGAACATATGCCTGTGGATACAAGCTTGTTAGTAGCTCTGGACAGCATATAGCCTTGGTATTCTTCAATTGATTAAGAGTCTGAAGTTCCACCAACCAAGCCACAGAACCATCCAACAACATGGCAGAAGAGACTGAAACCCAAGCCAGTGCAAGCAAGGCCAAAGGAGGTAGAAGGGGCAAAATGGCTCAACTGCAAGCTGATAACAAGGCCATTAACAAGATGGAAGTCAAGGTGCTCAACAACAACACCAACAAAGGAACTGACTCTGACTCTGACTCTGACCTTGACAGTGACAGCAAGCAATACAACTTCCATACCCTAGCAAAGCTCCTCAAGCCAGTGCCCAAACTCACATCACACAACTACTACCGCCATTTGGAGTGCCCACATCAAAATCCTTCCTCTGATTGGTACCACATGCCATGAAAAACCTCAAAGAAGGTTATGAAAAGAAGCACACCAAGTGGAATTGTGTGTTTGATGATGCTCTCATTAATGCACTGTGTGGTACCATCAATACCATTGGCAAATACAATGTGAACTACCTGATCCTTGACATCATCAGAGAATATCACACTTTCCATCAAGTCTGGAAGAAGATTGAGAATGGCCTGACTAATGAAGCTACTGCAACCTCACATCAACTTGCACTCATCACTCAGCTAGGTGATATCAAGATGTTCAACTCCAATGCTCGAAAGCTCATCCAAGAAATCAGATCTATTCAGATGGAGAGCAGTCTCCTGGGAAAGCCATTATGCCAATGACACCTTATTCTCAAACCTGCAGAAGTGCACCATACACCACCCCATGTACAAGGAAACCATCACAACCATCAGTCAGCTCAATTTTAATGCACTTGCCACTGCTTTGATTGTATGCCAGTCTGCAATTGAAAGCAACCCTGCTTATAAGGTAGACCCCCACCAGGCCAGGGCTAGAATTGCCAGCAGCAATGATCAGGATGAATCAGCCAAGGCAGATGAGAAAGATGAGAAGGAAAAGAAGGATGATGGTTGCACAAGTGCAAGGGTAGCAGCCAGACCCAGAAAGATTTCAATGCTGGGTGTGCAAGCAATTTGGACACAGCACTAGACAGTGTGATGCCTTGGTAACCATTCCTGAGAACTCCCCCCTTGCAAAAGCAGACTAGGAGGTCTGGTGCTCCTTCACACTGAGTTGGCAGAGGCCTCTGAAGTCAAAAGAACCATTTCATTGGATCTTAGACTCAGGGGCCAGCTATCACATGGTTAATGACTATAGCCTGCTCATTTGGCCAAGAACTTGTCAAAAGTGTGTATTCACAGCTGGAAGCAAGGTCCTGGAGGCAACAGCTATAGGAGATGCAAACATATCAATGAGTTATGGAGATGTTTTTCTTCACAATGTATTGAATGTCAGGCATCTTAATGTTAACCTTTTGTCAACCAATTCATTAACAGACAAAGGAGCACAAGTGACATTAGATATCACCAGCAGACAGATTCACTTGGAAAATGGAATGCTACTCAAGGTAGCCAAAGATTGTGAGCAGGGACTATTAGAGTTCTGAGGTGAGACATGGCAAGAAAACACAATGATCACAATAACATCCTTGTTTGAAGGTGTTGGTGATGAGCTTGAACAGATCAAGAGCAAGACAGGAGCATTGAAACAACAACTATGGTGTGAGCATCTAGGGCATCCAGGCTGAGATAAGATGAAGGCCATCATCAACAAGCTAAAGGGCAATAATGTAGTAGAGTTGGACCCAGAAACAGCACCGACATGTGAGCATTGTCATGGGCCTAGGGTTCTAAGGGCGTCCGGCCGTGGGGCAGATGCGTCTTGCGTGTCATGGGCCTGGATGCTCAAGAAGCAGGAGGGTCATGGGTTCATATGGAAGGAGCACAGGTATCGAAGACCTAGTCGACACCAGTAGAGAGCATGGTCGTAGTGCAGTCTCCATGGAGACCATGGACTCCTATGGACTCACATGCAAAGGAGGGCCAAGCACAGCCACGAGGAGGACCAAGCTCAAGGAGCAGGCACAGCCATGAGGAGGACCAAGCTCAAGGAGCAGGCACAGCCACGAAGAGGACCAAGCTCAAGGAGCATGCAGATGGTTACCACTCAGGGGCTTGAGAGACAAGAGCCAAAGGAACTGTCACTGATCAAAGGAGGAGGAGCAGTGTCGAAGGAGTCGACACCAGGTCATGAGGAGGAGGAGCAGTGTCGAAGGAGTCGACACAGCTCAAGAGGCACAGGGGTGCCAAGCAGGAGAGGCCCCTGAGCAGTACTCGATGAAGAAGGTACTCTCTGGAGAGAGAGCAGGAGCAGCATCGCTGGCGATGCTGAGAAGAGGTATATAACCATGCTTTCTCATCAATAGGTCGAGTGGATCCTTATCCACTCTACTCACCATACAACTAGTCAATACTTTAGAAACACAAGTACTCATTAGTTACAGTCAGCATAGCAGCAATCTATCAAGGTTGCTCCTCATCGTAGTGTGTGTGTTGTATCACCACTACCTGATGTCCGAAGGCGCCCATAGCAGGTTAGCGGTCCGGATATAGATAGAACCGAAGGCAGTAGTCCACTGCAGTCCGGGGATCACTTCAAAGCATCAAGTCAACACACTGGACACTCGTGTTGACGCCACCTACCTTATCACCAACACCATCAACCTCATTATCATTGACATCACCAATCTTATCATCAACACCATCAACCTCATTATCATCGACATCACCAATCTCATCACCAACACCATCAACCTCATCATCATCAACACCCACACCAGACCTTGGTGTCATCATAACATTGATATTGATCGTGCCGAGCTACCCCTGAACGGAGTGTCCACAGAGGTCAGCCGAAACCTACGATAGTATATACAACGAACGCCACCTGCTGTCACTGCACAACTTGATAGTCACCGATACCGAGACAATAGCTGTCACACAGTTTAATAGTCACCGAGTATCTCGACAGACCGACCTGGGTTTCAGGCGCAAGACCCCTGACATTGCGCTCCTCGAAGATGGTCCAATTTAATTTTGAAGACAGTCCATTTGAAAATTCAAGACAGTCCAATTCAAAGTTCTAAGGGTGTATGGCTGTGAGGCAGACGCATCTTGCACTCCTCGAAGACGATCCATTTCAAAATTCAAGACAGTCCAATACAAAATTCAAGACGGTCCAATACAAAATTCAAGACAGTCCACTTCAAAATTCAAGACAGTCCATTTCAAAATTCAAGACAGTCCACTTCAAAATTCAAGATGGTCCACTTCAAAATTCAGGCCTTGGGGCAGACGCATCTTGCCCTCCTGGAAGACGGTCCACTTACAAGGGGGTCCCTTTTCAAAACCAAGTAGGGTTGCTTAATCAAAGTTGTAGTACTACCTGAACTATGCATATTTCATTATCCAACCCTAGCCCTAGCCAGTGTGTCTTGCTTGCGGGCAACACACAATTGCGCTCTGCCAAATTCGAAATTCACGCAACTGCGTTGACCCCCAATGCACTCGAAATTTACACTGCTCAAGTGCTGCAACGCAAACAAATTTATTTTCGCTGGAGCAGCGCAAATTGAGCAACGCACAGCTGGAGCAACGCACTCACAGCTGGAGCAACACACACTCTGCTGGAGCAACACAATCTGAACAGCACACAGCTCGAGAGCAACGCACTGTTCGAGAGCAACACACAGCTCAAGAGCAACGCACTGCTTGAGAGCAACGCACTGTTCGAGAGCAACACACTCACAGCTGGAGCAACGCACTCACAGCTGGAGTAACACACACTCTGCTGGAGCAGCGCAATTTGAGCAACACACAGCTCGAGAGCAATGCAGAGCTCCAGCACAACTCTTGCACTTACACCCCACAACTACTCAGCCTTACAACACCTTTGTCGACATCATGAGCCTCCTTTGCACTCTTAGCCCTTTGTTCTTGCTGCCACTACTTCTCATCATCACTGCACAACATAATCACCACTTGTCTTCATCAGCTGTTGTTCTCTCTCATGCTCACACCTCACTACCACTCTGCCTTACAACACCTTTGTCGACATCATTTCTCTCTCACACTCACACCTCACTACTGCTCAGCCTTACAGCACCTTTGTCGACATCATTTCTCTCTCATGCTCACACCTCACTACCAATCAGCCTTGCAACACCTTTGTCAACATCATCAGCCTTTGTCCTTTATGCTCTCACACCTTTGTCGACATCATTAACCTTTGTTCTTACACTCTCACACCTTTGTTGACATCATCAGCCTTTGTTCTTACACTCTCACACCTTTGTCCTTTATGCTCTCACCCCTTTGTTCTTGCCACTGCTGCTTTTCTCACCATCACCACACATCACCATTGCCACTTGTTTCCTCCAGGCGTTTGCTCATCATCAATCCTTAGTTGATCTTCAACCCTTTGTTCTCATCATTGCTTTGTTGCACATCACCTTTCACATCACCACCTGTACTCTATTCCCACACTCAGCAATCCAATGTTGTTGTTCCCCATCATCATTGTGTGTGTGTCTGCACATGCATCCTTTGACTTTGTCATTGCCAACACCTGAGCTCCTCAGCATTAGCATATATACCAGCCCTCTTTCACAGCTATGGCAAGTCTCCTCAATGCTCACATCTCTCAGCACCATACCACACCAGCAACATCTAGCTCTTCTTGCCACTAACACCAACCACAATCTACAATGTCTCAATCATCTTCCATCTCCATCAGTGCCAGCATCAACACTGCTGCTGCAGTCAGGTACATGCTATTATCCTCTTCCTTTGCCTCTTCCTATTGATCTCCAACTGACCAGTCTCTGTCTCTTACCGAGCTTTGCTGTCACTGTCACAGTAGCAGCATCAACCCCTTCACTGAAAGCCAAGTTCCTCTTGCCATCATCAAGAACCTTGCGATGCACAGTGCCAATGCTCTTTCAAACCCTGATGATGCTTTCCCATCTCCAGTAGCTGATGACCTTGCTCCTTCTGATGCCATTGACAGTGATGATGACTTGTATGTACACTGCTTCTCTCTCCAGTGTATCTTCTTGATCAGCATCAACTGACGTCACTTGTGCTATCTATGCTCTCCTTGTCATCAACAGCACTTTGCTGCTCCCTGCTGCCAACCAGACTGCTCTTGCTGCTCCAGTTGATCTGAAGGTTGCCAACCAGCTTTGCAGCTTCTGCCTCCGCCTCCTCCAGCACCCTTCTCTTCTCCTCTGCACTCGCCCTGAGTGCACTCACCACCTGCCACTCATCCCAACCTATGCCAATGTGTCTCAGCACCTCAAGTCCCACCATCATCTGCTCACCAAGACTGGCATCAAGCTGTTGGAGGAGACACTCCTTACTCTCGACCTTGTCAGCCCTGCTACTGTCAGCATCAACACCAATCTACTCCCCATCAACCTCATCAAGGAGCTTGATACATTTGATGGCTACTGTTGCAGTATCTGTGAGTATGCTGTCAAGTCGAGCTCCTCTGCATACAAGCACCAGTGCAGCAGCCATGATGGAAAGGCTTCTGTCATCCACCCTGTTCTCATTCAGCCCATCTTCACCAGTGGTCCCTTCACCTGCTATGTGTGGGTCTTCAACAGCAAGCTCGAGCCTACACCCCCTCCTGTTGCCTTCAACATCAACACAGAGGAGGACGCAGCTTTCAAGGAGCAGCTGGAAGCATTCTTTGCCAAGGATGCAGAGCTAATGGCAAAGGCAGATCTGGACATGGAGGGCATTCAACCACGAACTGTGACTGGCAATCTCAGCCCATGGCTCAAGCAGCTAGGCTGGCAGGAGTACTGGGCTGGCAAGCCAGTGGCGGCCATTGGTTCCCTTGGCTGCAACCCTCACAAGTGGCCAGGTGCCCACCAGGACTTCCTTCACTGGCTGCTTGGCATGACACAACAGTGTACACAGCAGTGGATGGAGGCACTTCTTCAATCTGGCCGCCAGGTGCAGCAAACCTTCCATGCCTTTGACGACACCCCTAGCCATCCATACTCCCTTGATCAACCCACAGTCATCAAGTGTGCTGACTGCTGGGCAATGCTCATCACCATGCTGGCTCATGTCATGCTAGATGGCAAGGTTCTTGGCTACTATGGTGATGATGATCAGGATGCACACCTTGGCATCAGTGAACAGCTTGCAGGGCTCTTCGAGGACCTTCAGGACCTCTTCCATGATCCCAATCTGGATGTTGATGTCTCCATGCATCCTGATGTGGTTTTGCAAGCATTTAGTGGCATCCAGTCGATCAGTGTCTACCTCATCACCCAAGATCCTCCTGCCTATGGTGAGCTGGAACGTCTTCCTCTGCTATGCACCTTCCTCCACCTCTGCCTCTCTCCTGATGGCACATCCAAGCCGGTCAATACAGCAACCTCGATCCTGGTCAACTTGGAGTTTGCATTCCGTGCAGTGATGCATCACCACCTTCTCCACCCAGAGCATGGCACTCTCATTGGCAAGCCAGTCCCAGAGATCAACAAGGGGGTTCAAGCAGTTATGAAGCATTACCTGTTCAACAACAGCTACTCGGCAAGTGCTCATCTGCAATCCCTTCTCTGCTATGGGACCAAGCTGGCTAAGGATGATGGCGGCAGCCTCTACTTCCAGTGGTCTGAGGATAGGAAGCTGGTGACTTATGGCACCAACACAATCAAGATCAGCTGCCTTCACACCCTTGTCCAAGGCACCTTGGACCATGCCACCTCTCTGTTGGAGCAGCTGCTGCTGAAGGATGGTGCCTTGTCCGAGCATGTGGATCTGTCTACATACAAGGACCACTTCTGCAACAGGGAGCCGGGCTACAGCTTTGTTACTGCTACAAAGCAAGATACTGGCACCTTTTGCCTCCGTCAGGCTCTCAAAGGCTTTCCTCAGCATCAACCACTCCTTGATACTTGCTCAGCAGAGCCAGAGTTTGACACGGCTGCTGCCCATGCCTACTTTGCCCTTCACAATGAGTTCAACAAGCTCCTTGCTGTGCTCATTGAGCTCACCAGTGGTCTGCCAGCATGAGGCACAGAGCTGGTCAAGCTGCAGCACACCAACACATTGGTCAGCCAGCGCAACCTCTTCCTTGCTGATGGTCACTTTGTCACTGTGCTTGCCAGCAACAAGGGCAAAGGTCCATCCAAGCTCATCCCTCACTTCCTCCCTCATGCTGTTGGCCAGCTGGTGCTCTTTTACGTCATGGAGGTAGTGCCTTTCCTGCACCTCCTCTTCAACTCGGTAGAAGTTGCATGGGAGCCGAGTGCTCTCCTCCTTGTCAATCACAGGGGTCAGCCATGGCAGACCAATGACATCAGCAAGACATTACAGAGTCTTTGTCAGGAGTTTGTTGGCCCATCAGCAAGTTCTCTCCACATATGCAACTGGCGGCAGCTGTCAGTCAGCATTGACAAGGTGCTCATCTGGCCTGGCCTTCCCTCAGAGGAGTATGCTGACCATTCTCACGACTTGCAAGCTGGTCACTCCACATCTACTGCTCAGCAGCACTATGGTCTGGACAGCAGCATGCTACTTGAACTGACACAGGAGAGCTTGGATTGTATGCTCTCTGTCTCCAAGAGGTGGCATGCATTCTGGTGTCTGGCTTCATGCTACCAGGATGCTGTGCAGCCATTGGATGCAGCAGCACCTCCTCAGGCAGGCTCTGCATGTGTCAATGCTGCCTTGCCTGTGGATCTCAAGTGCAAGTTGGACAAGTTGGACAAGTTGGAGGAAGATGTCTGGCACATCAGGAGAAAGGTGGAGGAGAAGCCATCTGCTTCCCTTGCAAACATCATCCCTCCTGTTGTTGAGAACCACCGTTCAGCTGTAATACCTCCTGTGGTCAGAAAAGCCCTCTTCAAGGTCACCGGTAGCCACTGTACCAAGACAGTGGAGCAGGCATATGCACTCAATGCCATTCACAGGCATGAGTCACCACTGATCATTGTCATGGCAACAGGCACTGGCAAGTCTGCACTCTTCATGACACCTCTGTTTTGGCTTCCTCCTACCTCGGTGGTGGTGGTGGTTGTACCATTCATTGCACTCATGGAGGACCTACTGGAGCAATGCAAGCTTGTTGGGATTGTTGCAAGCAAGTGGTCTGGGTACAACTGTGCCAAGAAGGTGGAGGGAAGTCAGCTTGTGTTGGTGGCTGCAGAGAATTGCTACAACGAGCACTTTGGCAGCTGGGCACAGGAGATGGTGGAGCAAGAGTGCCTGGCAGCCATCTTCTTTGATGAGTGTCATGTCTGCATCACACAAGACTCCTTCCGGCCATCAATGGCAAAGATCAAGCAACTGATCACCACTGTTCCAGTGCCTCAGTACTTCCTCACTGCCACCCTGCTGCCAAGCCTCCTGTTGACCTTCAAGGCTGCACTCTGTCTCCCACAAGATGGCACTGGTATCATCCATGCTGCTACCAACTGCAACAACATTGCCTACTCTGTTCAATGGCTGCCATCCTCTGCAACCATGGACTTTTACTTGCAGCAGCTTCTCCAATCCCATCCCCATGGCTCCATCATGGTCATCTGCTGTTCAAGGATAGCTGCTGAGACTACAGCCAGGTTGCTGAGTTGCCAGTGTATCTGGTCAGAAATGGATCAGGCAGACAAAAAGGCTATCCTCTTGTCATGGCTTGCCTCTTCAGCAGCAGAGATGGATAACAGCAAGCATGTCTTGGTGGGCACAACAGCCATTGGCACTGGCATCAATCCTAGCCCTAGCCGGTGTGTCTTGCTTGCGGGCAACGCACAATTGCGCTCTGCCAAATTCGAAATTCACGCGACTGCGTTGACCCCCAACGCACTCGAAATATACACTGCTCAAGTGCCGCAACGCAAACAAATTTATTTTTGCTGGAGCAGCGCAAATTGAGCAACGCACAGCTGGAGCAACGCAATCTGAGAAGCGCAATCTCATCAGCGAACTGCTGGACAGCGCACACTCTGTCGGAGCAGCACAATTGAGAGCAGCGCAATTGAGAGGAGCGCAATTGAGAGGAGCGCTCACTCTGCTGGAGCAGCACAATCGACATGAGCGCAATCAAGACGAACGCAATCGACAGGAGCGCAATCGACAAAAGGGCAATCAACAGCAGCTCAATCGACAGGAGCACAATCAAGAGGAGTGCAAGCGACAGGAGCGAGCACTGTGCTGCAGCAGCGCAATCGAGAGGAGCGCAATCACGAGCAGAGCAGGAGAGAGGAGCACAATCGAAAGTAGCGCAAGAGAGAGCAGAGCGAGAGAGAGGAGCGTAATCGACAGGAGAGCAATCTAGAGACGAGCAGCAGAGAGGAGCGCAATCGACAAGAGTGCAATCGACAGGAGCACAATCAAGAGGAGTGCAATCGACAGGAGCAAGCACTCTGCTGCAGCAGCGCAATCGAGAGGAGCGCAATCGACAGGAGCTCACTCGAGAGCAGAGCAGGAGAGAACAGCGCATTCGACAGGAGCACAATCGACAGGAGCACAATCAAGACGAGTGCAAGAGAGAGGAGCACAATCGAGAGCAGCGCAATGGACAGGAGCGCAATTCGAGCGCAATTAGGAGGAGCGCAATTGACAGGAGTGCAATCGACAGGAACTCGATCAAGAGCAGCGCAATCGAGAGGAGCTCAATCGAGAGAAGCGCACACTCTGCTGGAGCAGCACAATCGACAGGAGCGCAATCAAGAGAAGAGCAATCGACAGGAGCTCTATCGACAGGAGCGAAATCGAGAGCAGAGCAGGAGAGAGGAGGTCTATCGACAGGAGCGCAATCAACAGGAGCGCAATCAACAGGAGCGAAATCGAGAGCAGAGGAGGAGAGAGGAGCGAAATCGAGAGCAGAGCAGGAGAGAGGAGCGCTCACTCTGCTGGAGCAGCACAATCGACAGGAGCGCAATCGAGAGCAGAGCAAGAGAGAGGAGCGCAATCGAAAAGAGTACTCACACTGCTGCAGCAGCGCAATCGACAAGAGCTCGATCAACAAGAGTTCAATCAAGAGCAGCACAATCGACAGAAGCTCAATCAAGAGGAGGGCAATCATGAGGAGCTCAATTGACAGGAGCGCAATCGAGCGCAGAGCAGGAGAGAAGAGTTCTATCGACAAGAGCGCAATCGACAGAAGCACAATCGACAGGAGCGCAATCGAGAGGAGCTCACTCGAGAGCAGAGCAGGAGAGAGCAGCACGTTCGACAGGAGCACAATCAAGACGAGTGCAAGAGAGAGGAGCGCAATCGACCGGAGAGCAATCTAGAGACGAGCAGCTGAGAGGAGCGCAATCGACAGGAGTGCATTCGACAGGAGCTCAATCAAGAGCAGCGCAATCGACAGGAACTCAATCGAGAGCAGAGCAATCGACAGGAGCGCATTCTAGAGAAGGGCAGCAGAGAGGAGCGCTCACTCTGCTGGAGTAGCACAATCGAAAGGAGCGCAATCGACAGGAGCTCAATCAACAGGAGCACAAGAGAGAGCAGAACGAGAGAGAGGAGCGCAATTAAGAGGAGCGCAAATCGACAGTAATGCAAAAGAGAGCAGAGCAAGAGAGAGGAGAGCAATTGAGAGGAGTGCAATCGAGAGGAGCTCAATCGACAGGAGCGCAATTGACAGGAGCACAATCAAGAGGAGTGCAATCGAGAGAAGAGCAGCAGAGGGGAGCGCAATCAAGCGGAGCGCAATCAAGAGGGGCGCAATCAAGAGGAGTGCAATGGAGAGGAGTGCAAGAGAGAGCAGAACAGGAGAGAGGAGCTCAATCGACAGGAGCACAACTGAGAGCAGAACAATCGACAGGAGCGCAATCAACAGGAGCGCAATCGAGAGCAGAACAAGAGAGAGGAGCGCAATCGACAGGAGCGCAACTGAGAGCAGAGCAATCGACAGGACCGCTCATTCTGCTGGAGCAACACAATCGACAGGAGCGCAAACGAGAGTAGCGCAATTCGAAGCAGTGAACACTATGCTGGAGCAGCACAATCGAGAGAAGAGCGAGAGAGAGGAGCTCTATCGACAGGAGCTCAATCAAGAGGAGGGCAATCGAGAGGAGCTCAATTGACAGGAGCGCAATCGAGAGCAGAGCAAGAGAGAGGAGCTCTATCGACAAGAGCGCAATTGACAGAAGTGCAATCGATAGAAGCGCAATCGAAAGGAGCGCAATCAAGAGGAGCACAATGGACAGGAGAGCAATCGAGAGGAGCGCAATCGAGAGCAGAGCATCAGAGCGGAGTGCAATCGACAGGAGGTCATTTCAGAGGAGCTCAATTGACAGGAGCGCAATCGAGAGACGAGCAGCAGAGAGGAGTGGAATCGACAGGAGCGCAAGAGAGAGGAGGGCAATGAAGAGGAGTGCAATTAAGAGGAGTGCAATGGAGTGGAGCTCAATCAAGAGCAGCACAATCGACAGGAGCGCAATCGACAGGAGTGCATTCGACAGGAGCGCAATCGAGAGCAGAGCAATGGACAGGAGCGCAATCAAGAGGAGCGCAATGGACAGGAGCTCATTGGAGAGGAGCGCAATTGACAGGAGCGCAATCGAGAGATGAGCAGCAGTGAGGAGCGCAATCGACAGGAGCTCAATCAAGAGGAGCTCGATCGACAGGAGAGCAATCGAGAGAAGAGCAGCAGAGAGAAGTGCAATCGACAGGAGCTCATTGGAGAGGAGCGCAATCGACAGGAGCGCAATCGAAAGAAGAGCAGAAGAGAGGAGCTCAATCGACAGGAGACCAATTGACCGGAGACCCATTGACAGGAGCGCAATCGACAGGAGAGCAATCTACAGGAGCGCAATCGAGAGCAGAGCAGTAGAGAGGAGCTCTATCGACAAGAGCGCAATCGACAGAAGTGCAATCGAGAGGAGCTCAATCGAGAGCAGAGCAAGAGAGAGGAGCGCAATTGACAGGAGTGCAATCAACAGGAGTGCAAGAGAGAGGAGCGCAAGAGAGAGGAGCGCAATTGAGAGGAGCACAATAGAGAGGAGCACAATAGAGAGGAGCACAATCGACAGGAGCTGTATTGACAGGACCGCAGGAGAGAGGTGAGCAATCAACAGGAGCGCAAGAGAGAGGAGTGCAATTGACAGGAGCTCTATCGACAGGAGCGCAATCGAGAGTAGCGCAATTGAGAGGAGCGCAATTGAGAGGAGTGCAATCGAGAGCAGCGCAATTGAGAGCAGAGCAAGAGAGAGGAGCGCAATCGAGAGGAGCGCTCACTCTGCTGGAGCAGCACAATCAAGAGCAGCGCAATCGACAGGAGCTCTATCGACAGGAGCGCAATCGACAGGGGCTCATTGGAGAGGAGCGCAATCGACAGGAGCGCAATCAAGAGAAGAGCAGAAGAGAGGAGCTCAATCAACAGGAGACCAATCGACAATTAAAATGCTGGCTCAATGAGCCAAATTGGTTCACTGGTTGCTGAGATACAAATTGCTGCCTGCCAAATAATCAGAGGCGTGTTTTTGCTTGTGTGTCCAATCTCACTGATATTTCGGATCTCGCCAATTTTTCTGGCCGATATTTTCGATCTCGCCAATTTATCCAATTTATCTGATCTTGCTGATCGTTCCAATTTTTCCGATCTCATCGATTTTTCTGATCTTGCCGATTTTTCCAGCCGATATTTTCGATCTTGCTGATTTATCCGATTTATCCGATCTTGCTGATCGTTCCGATTTCTCACGATCTCGCCGATTTTTCGGATTTTTTCGATCTTGTCGATTTTTCCGATCTCGCTGATTTTTCCGGCTGATATTTTCGATCTTGCCGATTTATCTGATCTGTCCGATTTGACTGCCGCTGGCCAAAGATTCTGGCGCGTGTTTTCGCGAGTGTGTCTGACGCGTGTTTTTTGATGTGGTCTAACATTTCTTAAAAAGATGCGTGTCTCACGCGTAGGTCTAACATGTCAAAATTTACATGCGAAAAAAGACACGCCGACACCCAACACGAAATTACGAGGCGACATGCAGGCGAAATGCGATGCGTATTTTCGCGACCCCAATTTTGGACTTTGTTTTCGAGTTTATTTTTCGAAGGTATTTTTGGTAAACCCAAGTTCCGGTATACCCGAGGACGGGAGGTCCGGAACCGGGTGACTCGGTTACTGGACAGCCGGTTACCGGTAGTTCGGTAAGGGTTAGGGTTAGGGTTAGGGTTAGGGTTAGGGTTAGGGTTAGGGTTAGGGTTAGGGTTAGGGTTAGGGTTAGGGTTAGGGTTAGGGTTAGGGTTAGGGTTAGGGTTAGGGTTAGGGTTAGGGTTAGGGTTAGGGTTAGGGTTAGGGTTAGGGTTAGGGTT